CCCGCATGGCTAGCTTATGCCCAGAAATAATTACACGGAAACTGTATTCTTTCAAACACTGCCTGGCCCGGATAGTTCCAGTTCCTTATGGCTAGCTCTTACATATTGTTCTAACCCATTTCTAATATTCTGTGTAGCCCACGAGCTGGCTTACCAGGGAGGATCTTAACCTGCGTCTGTCTGGAGCGGGAGAACCATGGCGACTCCTCCACCAAGCCTCCTTCTCCCAGAATTCTCCTCTGTTTTCTCCACCCACCTAAGGGTGGGCCTTATCAAGGGGCCTAGGCAGTTTCTTTATTAATAAGAAATCACTCCCACATCACAGATTAGCATGCAGATAAAGAGTTCTCATAACTCAACAATAGAAAAATCAGACCAACATTGAAAGCCAACAAACAGCTTGAATAAATGTTCTCCTAAGAAGTTATAAAAATGCCCAATACATATATGAAAAGTTGTACAATGTTGCTCGCAGTCTAGAAGTGGTAAATTACAACTACTGGGTCTGCTAAGACCATACCACCCTTAACATAACTAGTCTTAGAAGCTAAGCAGGGTCAGAATTTGTTAGTGCTTGAATAGGAGACAGTCTGGGAATATCAGATGCTGTAAACTTAATAAAACATTACAACCAACCTAAGATAAAACATGTAGACCCACTATATCTATAGTAGCAACAGAGTGAAAACAAATGTTCTAAGGACTTGAAGAGGAGAGGCTCCTTTGGATTGATGATGGGATATAAAGTTCTGTATCTACTGGGAACAGTTGGCAGCTCTGTAAAAATGCAAGCATAGACTCACCATATGACTCAATGATTATATTCGTTCACTGTATTAGTTTGCTTAGGCTATCATGAGAAGTTATAGCAACAACTGAGAGGCTGAAACAGCAGAAATATATTTTTGGAGTTCTGAAGGCTATAATTTTGACATCTATATGTTCAGTGTGATTAGTTTTCCCTGATTCTTTATCCTTGACTTAGAGGTGGCCACTTTCTCATATTTCCTCTCATACAGTTTTCATTGTGCACTCAGGTCTGGTGTCTCCCTCTCTATATAAGAGCAACACTTAGACTGGAGTAGGGCCTATTCCTAAAACCGTAATTTATTCATTAGAATTCCAACTTTCACATCCAGAAACATTCTGGGTCTGCTAGTGGTTAAGACCTTATGTTTGGAATTTGTTGATACAGTTTCACTTCCTAAGATATGATATAATGTCTCCTTCATTTTTTTCTCTTTCTTATCTCCAGAGAATAGTCACAGTGAAATTCAAAAAAAGTTCACACTACCTTCATCCATCGCCAGATGAAGGTTCTATGGTGATATGCAAGGTATTCATCAGTATGGCTATAGGATAGGGCCATTTCAGGCTTCCTCTCCTCAGCTGCCCAAGGATCTAGCTGGGGACATCTCCATGGACACCTGGGGCCACCTCTAAAGTCAAGTCTCTTACCAAACCTATAATGGCTCCCTTAATTAAGATATATGCTTCCCTGCTCCCATATCCACCCTTCCTCCATCCCAACCGTCCCATTTCCCCAAGCTTTCCCCATCCCCTCCTCACGTTTTTCTCCCCATCTCTCCTTGCCCCCAGCCCACCCCACCCCCAAGTTTCCAATTTTTGCCTGGCAATCTTGTCTCCTTCCAATATCCAGGAGGATAACTATATGTTTTTCTTTGGGTTCACCTTCTTATTTAGCTTCTCTAGGATTACGGATTATAGGCTCAATGTCCTTTATTTATGGCTAGAATCCACTTATGAGTGAGTACATACCACATTGGAGCACTGGACTGAGCTCCCAAGGTCCAAATGAGGAGCAGAAGGAGGGAGAACATGAACAAGGGAGTCAGGACTGCAAGGGGTGCATCCACCCACAGAGACAGTGGGGCTGATCTAATGGGAGCTCACCAAAGCAAGCTGGACTGGGACTGATGGAGCATATGATCAAACCAGACTCTCTGAACGTGTCGGACAAGGAGGAATGACTGAGAAGCCAAGGACAATGGCACTGGGTTTTGATCCTACTGCATGTACTGGCTTTGTGGGAGCCTAGTCGGTTTGGATGCTCACCTTCCTAGACCTGGATGGAGTGGGGAGGACCTTGGACTTCCCACAGGGCAGGGAACCCTGACTGCTTTTTGGTCTAGAGAAGGGAGGGAAGGGTGTGGGGGAGGGGGAGGTAAATGCTGTAAACTTAATAATACATTACAACCAATGGGAGGAGGGGAGGAGGGGAGGAAGTGGAAATTTTTAAGTAAAAATAAATTTAAAATAAAAGAAAAAAGTTTCCACTACAGCAATGAACTTAAACTCAGAAGATCATATAACTGAAGGACTAGGTCTTATGTTATTCTGTGTATGAATATTTGTGACAAGTCTATCAAGAAAACATCCACCTATTAATATAATATTCAGTTATTGATCAAAGCAAAACATGTAATAACCATTAATGATGAAGCAGACAAATGGCACATGCCTGTCAGGGTCCAATTTTTTGTTTGCCCTTGTAATTTGCTGCAAACATTGCTCCTTATGAATTTGATATAGGGAGTGTTCAGAATGAACAGAACAGCCATCTATACCTTACACAGTAAAGGTGTTAAAGATGGATCACTATTTTTAGGGTATTAACATCCTTCTTGTTTGTTAGGTATTTTCCCCCCAAAGGAATATTCTAGGCTCACTGATTACCATCAGTTAGAAGGTAGTTCTTTGACTTGAAATTCTTAGTCTTTCATCTCTGTGCATCATGAAACAACTTTAGGGTATCTTCTTTCCAGTAATCACAAACATCCTGAAGTCTCTTCCAAGAGTTGCCATTAGTTTTAGGAACACCACCTGTCAAAATTTTAATCCCTTATGGCAATTCAAAAGAAGGAACTGAAGCAGAGCCTAGCAGAAAAATCTATAAGCAAACTTCTTTCTATTCCATATACAGAAACTAAAGAAATGAGTTAGAGTGTGTATGAAAATATTAAACAGCGTTTTTCAGGATGGCATCATTTGGGTGGGATCTCCCAAACTGATGTCTGTTAGTAATTCATGACTAGAAAATTAGTCTGTCAGTTCATTGTATTCTGATCAAGGTTTCAGGGACAGACTACATATAACCAAACTTGTAACAGAGTAGCACAAAAAAAAATGTGCAAAACACATTTGTTGCTATAAAACTCCTCCCAAACTAGAGTGGCTATGTGATTTACTCTCTGATCTGACATTTATAAGATTAAAAATGGGAAGATCAGATAATCTATGGTAAGAGATGCAAACCGTGACTTGTCAGGACAAAACTGGACATGTAGTTACTTCACCTATAACTCAGATAACTCATCTCCATGGTCTGATGCATGTTGGCCCCTGTGTCGAGGTTTCAGAGAAATCAAACTTGTAATTGACAGTCTTCATGGTGTGCATGACCTTCACACCAAATGAGAAATATAGTTCTGACCATAGATGAGTCTAGTCTAGTGGAGCAAGCAGGAGTAGCACAACATAATAGATTTATTGATAACAACAGTAGCATTTTCCTCAAGCCTGGCATATTACACTCCTTGGATGGGATATCTAACTCTTCTTAAAGGCCATCTTTTTCTACCTACTCAGATTGGACACAAAGCAGCTGATCATACAGCAAATTTCTTTCTTATTTTCCTGAAGTAATACCCTAGTTACTTGGACTGCAGTATTTCCTATTTCTTCTCGGCCACTTCTGCCTCACTCATATCTGGGCATATAGCTATGGGCTTTAATTTCCATTTATTAAGTAATAAAAATGAAATTACTTTTGGACAATGAAATATATGCAAATTTGTGAGCTTCCCAACTTTCTTATGTACTGATAACAATCTCACATTGTACTGACTTCTACATGATTATATTAAAGCTAGGTAGAATTTATAGCTAAAATAAAGTACACTACTAAATGAAATCAAAGTGTTTGTGTGACAATTCAAGACAAAATAATTACTGCCAGATTTACTTCAAGTTTGGCTGGTCGTCAGTAAATCAAATAAATGGCAACTGTACACAGCACTGAACCTGTGACTGGAGGAAGTAAAATGTCAGGTCCGGTGACATGCAGGTGGGATTGACAGTCTTCACCAGAACTTCGTTTAGATGTAAGCACACGCTTGTTTATAAGCACACCAAGTAAGCAGTAAATGCCACACTGAATTCTATTTACCGAACAGCATGTGTAAGCCTTTCTACGAGCACATCATAAGATGAGAAGAGGGAGTCTTGCCCAAGTAACACCAAGAATATTAAGAACACAAAGTAATGTGCTGATACCATAAGATATTCTGCAAATGTGTTCAGAAGAAAGAAAAATGAAAATTGTTTGCTTGGTCAAAACCACTAACGCTAGAAGAGAAAATACAGGGAGTTTGAATAAACATGACTGTCTTTTTTATCCAAGTAAATCATTTTATGAAGCCAGTTTTGAAAGTCAGTGCCTTTATTCTTTTGGTGCCTGACTTTAGAATGAATATTGGAGGCATGTTTATAACTTAGAGTTATGTTATATAATAGGAAATAAAACTAAATTATATAAGGATATCAATAAAAACTTACAAGAATCAAATAAACTTAATTTATTGAATGATGAAATTAAACAGATACCATGAGAAAGAAAACTGACAATGTTCCTTTAGAAGACTAAAGGCCTATGGTCCTACCAGCACTGAAAGATATTAAACCAAATGGTTTCCTATCTTAGGTGTCTGACTTGCTGTAACAATTCTCTATGTAACTTACAACCAAGAAAAGTGTATTGATCCACATTTTTGAAAGCTAGAAGGTTGAAATTTAGACAGCAGTATTTGTTCTCTACTTCATATAGGACATATTCTCAGTGCATTCTTACATGGTGGAAGGTGGTGAAGAGGCTCCCTCAATCCCCTATTATAGCGTATTTGTCCCGGTCATGAAGAGCCTATTCACTTTCCCAAGGCTGCACCCGTAGTGAGAAATTGTTTCAGAGATCAGATTTTAATACATACATTCATGTGGGACACAGATATTCAGACCACAACAGCAGCCTTTTAGGATCTTCCTTTAGTTCGTGATATCTCTATTCAGGAACGGGCTCAGCCTGTTTGTAATAAAATGCAGCTGTAAAAATCATGCCACTGTTCTCACATAACAGAAGGGTAATTTTCTCAACCTAACAGAAAAATCCAATCATCTCAGGTGGTTTCAATCAAGCTGGGATTAAATTATGTGGAAACAATAAATAGACCCCAAATCTTGGATGATTCACACATGGAGATCGTTCCTTTAACACCTGAAGTCTTTTGTGGGTCAAATGCATCCGTCTTCCATGAGAAGATGAGCCAGCAGCATGCTTCAGTCCTACAGCTCTGCCAGGAATGCATCACTCAAGAGTCCCCACTGAAAGGAAGGATTGAATAGGAAAATTTCCCTGACACTCATTACTTGTTATGGTCTGTAGCAGCACAACAGGAAATGTCCTCACTACTGTCAAACAGTAGGATACTGGCAAACACTAGAAATATTAACTAAAAGGTTTCTATGCTGAGTAAGCCATGAAGAACGAGTCAGTAAACAGCATTTCCCCCATGGCCTCTGCTTCAGTTCCTGCCTTGAGTTCCTGTCCTGATTTCCCTCAGTAATGGACTACACCTGTAAAATGAAATAAACCTTTTTCTCCCCAAGTTGCTTTTGATCATGTTCTTTATCACAGCAACAGAAAAATTCTTGGGAAGTTTCTATGCTTGTTTTTTGATATTAAATAAATTTATTACAAATTCTTTATTTTCATTAAAACTAGTTTTCTACCTTTTGCTTTCCTAGGTGGCTAAGTCACAGAGACTGTTGGCAACAGGCACAAGGCCTGCACAAGTTGTAGCCAAATAGGCTTCCCGCACTGAGAGTGGGATGTGGACTAAGCTCCCACCCCTCACTAGAAAGCTCTCTTCAATTGATACCTTCTGGCAAAGGAAAACTACTAGAGGTTGCATCTTCTCTCCCTCTGAAATGCAGACACTTAAAGCCCACTGGAGAATGTACAAAAACCCATGGAAGGGTTTTAAATGTCCTCTTGCTTCATTGGGGATATTGTAATATCACATTAGGTCTGGATATGGTGGCACACAGTTGACACTTGGATAGCTGATGTGAGAGGCTTGTTGCCACCCTAATCTAGACACTGAGCCTTTCTTTCCAAATTATTAGGCCCTTATAATATCTAGGAAATAATATTCATGTGTGAACATCAAAACTACTGTTTGGGGTTTGTTGTTGCTTCTTTCTTTTAATAAGGAAACAAACATTAGTGCTTTTTAAACTTTTTAGCTAACTTGCTTCCTGAAAGTAGAAGAAACTGCACCACATGTATTGATGTAGAATCCTCCCCCATCACTGCATGATAGAACCAGAGATACTGAATCAGGCATATTGCAACTGTGAGTCCAATGTGTTTTACATGGCAAGACCGTATCTCAAACCAAAGCAAAAGTTTTGGAAGTGGAGAACTTAAAAATAAATCTAAAAAACGAACTCCTTTGGGGGCCCATGTTGCAACATTCTATTCAGTAGGTAACTGTGTATTAAAAATAAAAACAAATAGCTGGTATCTAAGTTTAGCTTTCTGAATACAAGCCATTTGAGGTCTGCTGTATCAAAATATGTAATATTCTTTGAAAAAATTTACCAAATAAATGCATTATGTAGAAACAATAAGGCAGTAAAGTTCTAAAAAAATGGTTGGAGGGCTTATTATAAGGAATAACATTTATTTGATGAAGGCTCAGGGAAGCACGTTGAATGCTGGTAACATGAAAAGCAGTTTGTACACTTAGTAAGAATTGATGTTCACAGAATTACCTGTGAAACCACACACCTTACACTCTCAAATATTTAACCTGCCAAATTTAATTGGACTGAAGCAGTTCAAGCCATTCAAGCATGGGAGCCAGTAATTGCTTGTAATTCATAAAGAGGATTATGCACATGCTACGTTTCCAAAGAAACGTGAAGAGCACAGTTAGAATGAAATGTTCCACAAATATGCACTTTTGAATAGTCTACTTGCCTGCAGGGATAATGCAAGCATTAAAGCCCCAAGGAAAGTGGCAATGAGAACTGTTGCCCAGGCTCATCCTATAATGGGCAGTGTTAAGAGTCACAGTCCAGCTCATAATTCATACAGTAAATATCAAACTTCACTTTTGAAAGCTTCCTCTGCTTGTAAGACAATTGGAACCAACAAGGATCATCTGTGCCCTGGGAAAGATGTAACAAGACGTATTTCTTGATTTTCCATGGTGACAAGTTTTCCCAAAATGTTTAGTTATTGACATTTTCATTTTGGATATTGCAATGTGATAATAAGAGCTATAGTCTTTTCTCTTTGTCTCTGAAATCCGGACACAGAGTTCTGAATCCTCTGGAAATTCTTGAGTAATGGGAATGCCTTTTGCTTTAATGACTTGAATTTTGAGAAAGTGAGGGGAGTCATCAAAAGGCCCAGCCCTAGATAGAAGATGGAACTCTGCCCATCTTTGAGGAAAAAAAGAGCAGCTGGAGGGGAGTGAATAATTAATCATATCTCTATGATAGAGCCCATATATAAATCTCACAGCTGGAGCAGGGATGATACTCTGTGGTAGACTAGCTGCTTAGCATGTGTGAGGCCCTGGGTTACATATGTTTTCACACATCCACACACACAAACACACACATTCAAACACACATGCTTCTCTGAGTTCTCTTTCAACCTCTCTAGAAAATTTTCAAGTCCACGAAGGGGATTATAGAACCACTGGTTCACAAGCAAGTTAGACAGATTGTGAGAAACCAGTGAACGTAGTATTTTTAGCATTGGAAAAAGTAGGTTACTTTAGTGAGACTTGACCTATTGGGTCTGAACTGATACCATAAGAATTAGATTTTTAGAATACCAAGCTGGTTTCAAAGAATTGGTTTGTGGAAAAACACTTTTTACACATTTTGGTGACCTGAAGTGTTTTGAGAGTCTTGAGGAAAACTTGTGGGCTTTCCCCTTATAAACACTCTTCCATCTTGCATAGCAGAATATGTCCAAGATCCAAATGATAAAGTAAGTAGGGTGCATATGAGGTTCATCCATTTCTGAGTTCCTCTAGTAAGATTTTATTTTTCCTATCAGCATCATAGAAAAGGTTTATTTATTTGTATGTGTGAGTATGTGACTGTATGTTTATATGTTAGGGTATATGCATCTTTTAAAAATTGTTTTTATTGAGCTATATATTTTTCTCCACTCCCCTCCCTTTCTCTCCCCTCTTCTCCTACCCTCTCACATGGTCCCCATGCTCCCAATTTACTCAGAGATCTTGTCTTTTTCTACTTCCCATGTACATTAGATCCATGTATGTGTCTCTTAGGGTCCTCATTGTTGTCTAGGTTCTTTTTGTTATCTAGGGTTCTCTTTGTTATCTAGATTTTGAATTGTAGGCTGCTTTGTTTTTGCTTTATGTTTAAAAGTCACTTATGAGTGAATACATGTGATATCTGTCTTTCTGGGTCTGGATTACCACACTCAATATTTTTTTTCCTAGATCCATTCATTTTCCTGAAAAATTCAAGATGTCATTATTTTTCTGCTGTGTAGTACTCCACTGTGTAAATGTACCACATTTTCCTTTTCCATTCTCTGGTCAAGGGGCATGCTCCCACAGAGGTTCTTTGTTTTAGCCCAGTCCCACAGAGGTCTCTAGCTCAGGCCTGTTTCCTTGGAGGTGCCTTACTCATGCCCTGTCCCACAGAAGTATCTGGCTCAGGCCTCCTCCCTCAGCAGTCACTCCCTTTTACCTGTTCCTGTGGAGGTCACTGCCTCAGTCCTGCTCTGGCTGAGGTTACTGTCTCAGGCCCGTCGCTGTGGAGGTCGCCGCCTCCAACAGACATTGCTGGCTCAAGTATGCTTCTGCCCCTGTGAGAGTTGCTGCCTTGGGCATGCTCTAATGGAAGTTGCTGGCTCAAGCCTGCTCCTGTGGAGGTTGCTGGCTCAGGCCTGTTCCCACCGATGTCCTAGGCTTGGGTATGCTGCCACAGAGGTCCATGGTTTTGGGCCTGCTCCCAGAGGTCTCTGGCTCAGGCCTGATCCCTCAGCAGTTGCTCCCTTTTACCTGATCCTGTGGAGGTTGCTGCCTTGGGCCTGCTCTAGCTGAAGTCGCTGGCTCAGGTCTATTCTTGTAGATGTCCCTGGTTAGGCCTTCTCCCATGGAGGTCCCTGGCGGGTCTGGCTCCCTCAGTGGTTATACCTGTAGTAAGTTTTTAAATGTTTTGTTATATATATATATATACACATATATATACATATATATGTATATAGATATTCATGTCTCTCTTTGTGTGTGTTTTAGTAAGTACATGTTGCATATATGTGAGTATGCATTCCGTGGTACACATATGGAGATCAGAGAAAAAACACAGAAATTGGTTCTTTCCTTGACCATGTGGATTCCAGGGATTTAAGTCAGATCATCAGGCTTAATGTCCAACATGCCTTTACCTACCAAACTAACTCACTGGCTTTCATCTACTGAAGTTTGTTGGCCTTCTAGTATGTACTAGGTACTATTTATATGTAACTGATGGACTCAAACCTAAAGGTCAAACTAGTATGAGCCACAAAATGATAAATTCTTAAATGTTAACCAAATGAGAACAAATAAATTATTGTTTAATGACTGCTCATCATGTAGCTGGTAGACATCTCTGTAATAAATATAAATACAATAAAATAGAAATAAATAAATTCTGTTCTCCACAGAGATGTTTAATGGAATATTTCACATGTGGCTGACGTAAAGACATTTGGGAGCATTCATTCATAATGAGAAGCTAATGAAGACACTGAAACACCATGCCAAGGCATTTTTTCACAAATGTACAATGAAGCTTTAAATAAGTTAGTCATGGAAAGACCACGCTTAAGAATAACAGAAAATGCCACGTATTTGAAGTGCTGTGTAAGATATTGTGAATTTAGGAAGAGGCCTTAGGAAAATTCACAGTGGCAGTGAACAATGAAGCATTCACTACACATGTGTAGTGTCTTCATTCTTTGGGAGAGAAAAAATATGCTTCCCACAAGTTGTGACTCTATTATCTCACCATTAACTTCAGAATTTATGGGCGTGCAGGATCATTGCCCAGATTCAACACACAGTTGGCACCATTCCAAACCTGAAAGCAATTCTCAGGTCACAGACAGGACCTTCACTATGAGAGCCTGGAAATTATATTCAACTAGTTTCCTTTTGTCATCGGTGGACAATGGGTGATAAAAAGTAACAATTATACCTGTCAAGGACAACCCACCTGGGAAACAGCCTTTCTTAGGAGTACACACACATAAAAAGCAGACATCTGTGGAGTTGCTGGAATTAGCCTGGAAGAAGGAGACATATATTCATATTGCAATCAGTTTGCATATTTTGTGGATTTATGAATTAATTTGGTTCACAAATGGTCTCCTAAAAGTGACCACTAAATGTGGCTATGGACTGAGTTTCTCATGACTTCTTTTTTCTAAGATACATTGATTTGAGTTTGCACTATTATTTCCTGGCATAAGAGCTTAATGTCTCCCAATAAAGACACCAAAAAAAAAAAAAAAAGTCGGCCTGAACTACTGTTTGTTCTTTCAAGTTCGACTATAAACACATATTCAGTAAAGAACATGTCAAAAGATAGGGTATATATGTCCCTCTCTAACGAACTAGTCTAATAAAGAACAGAAGTGATGAAGCAAAAATACCCAGTTGTTCCAGGACTATTGTAAAAAACATCCATTATCAATGTGACCATCATGTGTGGTGTGTGGTGACTGTTTTCCATTCTCACCCCTTTTTATCCTCAAGAGAAAAACCCATCTGAATCCAATAAAACTTGTTTGCTGATTTAGAGACGTGCTTTATGAGCTGTTCAGATCTTTCTTCTCTAAATTCAAGAATCTGTAAGTCAAGCTGGGCAAGTAAGAACTTTGGAAATGTGATGGGCACAGGAACTTTACGTGACAACTCTGCCTGGATGCCCTAAATAGAGGAAGAGGCAAATGAACAACGAAGAGGTAACAGTTGAATGTGATGGCACACACAAAGAATCCTGGAACTGGAGGACTGAAGCATGAGGATGGTGTCCTAGTTTGGTTTCTCTGGCTGCAATAAACGCCATGACCAAATGCAACTTGTGGTAGAAAGTGTTTATTTGGCTTACATGTTGCAATCATAGCAGATCACTGAGGTCAGTCAGGGCAGGAACTCATCAGAAACAGAGGCAGGAACCATGGAGCTACACTGTTTTCTGGTTTGCTCTCCATTGCTTGTTTAGCATAGTTTCTTTTATAACCCAAGGGAGGCACCATCCAAAGTCAGTCATTAAGAAAATGTCCCCGCAGGTTTGCCTACAGGCCAGTCTAATGGAGGTGTTTTCTCAACTGAGGTTTCCTCTTTTCAAATGTCCTGAGCTTCTTTCTAGATGATTGAAAAGAATTAATAAGTGAAGATATTGAGTTCAGGCTAATCTGGGGTACACTGTGAGATCCTGTCTCAAAACAAATAAGCAAACACCAAAAGTTCCCAAATGGTTTTGAGTTGTCATCATAAAGAGCCACTACTTACATGCATTTTCTGCTCAGAAGTCAAGAGATGGAACAAATCAAACATTTTGGATCCAAATTGCAGAAGTCAATGAATGTTATCAGGGTGAGAGTGAGAAAAGGAAAACTTCAATTTTGCTGTTGTCTCAAAGACATGTCAAAGGATGGCCATGGCTGCCTCTCCATTTTTCTCATCTGGAATGATCTCTGGATCTGGATCAGATCTCCTCTGGAATGATCCCTCTCCATTTCTGTTTTTTCCTACCTGTCCACTTTCAAAATGTAGTGATTGCATAATTGAGAAAAGACATCTATTTTCTTTACAGTTTCTTTTTTCACTACATAGAGAAGCTTATCTGTATAAAATTTTGATGTAATTTAGATTAACTTCTAGTATAGTTTGTAGTTTCAAGTTAAGGCTATGAATTTTACCTAAGATTAAAGGTAAAATGTTACATGCCATTCATGGTGAATGTTTACCTGTCAAAGGCACAGGAAATACAACTCTTTCTAGGGAATAGAAGATTTCAGTGATTCTCTCTCTCTCTCTCTCTCTCTCTCTCTCTCTCTCTCTCTCTCTCTCTCTGTGTGTGTGTGTGTGTGTGTGTAAGTAATGCAATCTGCTATTTCTTTGTGTTCATGCTTGCTTCCAAATAAGTTTGGCATTTGGAACCTAAATGATTACTTCTGAGAATGTTATAAGGGAAGTCTCTTGAGTAAAGATATAAGAAACCAAAGACGTTGTAACTATGCATAGCTAATAAGACAAAGGGCAGCTAGCTCCAGGTTCTTATGTATGTTCAGATCTTCCCACAATGTTTTTTTTCAAATTTAATAATGGGAAAAGAGCTGGATTCCTAATGTGTGTGTTGTGATTGTTGCTTCGCATAACTTAATCACGTATGGGCTTTGAGAAGGGATGTGTTGGACAGGTGTTCAATTGGTCTTTCTTTCAATGACAGTCTCTCCATTTTCTGTGGTTCTTGTTGTTATGTGTGATGGAGAGCCAACTTCTAAGCCTATTTAGCCAGAGCTTTTTTTTTATCCTTCCCCCATTCTCTGTGTTATCAACCAACTGAGTTTTCCGACTGATACGCTTTTCACTCATACAATGGACAGAATTTGAGAATCTTTGATGGAAAGAGCTTGAGAAAGAGTCATTAACTTCATTTTGCCTCATTTGTTTTTTAAGCTAAAGAATCCGGGAGAAAACTGCTGGTTAAAAATATCAACATCTCCATTGACTGCCTTGAAGCTACACATTTCAGGCAAGTCAGCAAAAATAGCTCAGCTCTTCCTTTAAAACAGACTCATTCACTATTTCCAGAATTATCTAAAGCCCCAGCCTACAGTATGAGTTTTCACTCTTCTCTAATCTTCTTTTGAGTATTGCCCACCCCCTATCTGTGCTGTTTAGGACTCTATCTGTGGAACAGAAGATTTTTATTAGTCTTCTTTTAATTTGTTAGCTGGCTAAGTAAGGGCTAAAAATAAGCAGTACCATATCATTCCCCTGCTGTTTTGTTGCACCCCTTTCACTGGGTTGAACACTGGATATACTCTTTGCTAGCCCTGTGACAACTTAGTTTGCCTTTTTACATATATAATAAAAATAATAAACCATAATTCACCATTTCTATAAAGAACAAATGGCTGATAAGTTGAACAAATTTAAGATACTTACTGGCATATAGTAAGCTCTCAATATTTGCTCCACTCCCTGATAAGTTTTCTACTGTTAGAGAACCATAGTGGAGATTAAATAGTTTAAAAAGAAAATATGTTCATTTAGGTTTCCAGTCCTAGTGAGTGAGGCTCTTGTGTTGCTATAGCTCATGGAAGAAAAGACATAGCATACAAAAGAGATGGACAAGGAAGCCAAAATTTCTTGGGGGGTAATACATGCAGACTCATGAGAGTGAAAACTCACCTAACAAAATGACTTTAATCCATGCATGAGAGTTCCACTACCTGCCATTAGTCTCAGTCTCCCCACCCTGATACACTGAGGACCATGCTTCAACTTGAGTTTCATGGGAAACAAAACCTATCAGAGTTTTATTGTTAGTTACTATTATGAATTAATTTATTTTAGCTCCTACCTTTTAAGGTGAAAGTAGGATTTTCATAAACCATGGTTTCTGTGTCAACATAAAGTATATATTGCTCCTGAACCTAAGGTTCATACATGCATACTCCAGGCTTTGGAGTTAAAGATACAACAAAGGGGTTGGGGAAGCTTTCTCCACTGCTAAAGAATGTTCCTGAGGTCAAGAATGTGTCAGGGATGTCCCTTCCTTGAGGGCCAGAGAGGCTATTGTATGAAGCTGTGAAGGTGAAGACTGGATTATGTTGGAGACTCAGAGATGTCTGAGATGATGGAGTCATGGGATACCTGCCAAGAAAAGCTGAAGACCAGGGTGGAACCAGCCCAAGAGAGAGAAATTGCCTTTCAATCAATGAAGTAGAAAAGAATTGGAAATAGTGCTTTGACATCAGACATATAGATACATAATTTGGAGTTTGCCCTGCTGATTTTGGGTCTTGCTTTGGTCCAGTATTTCCTCACTATGTTCCCATTATCCCTGTTTGACATGATAATTTGTATTCTATGCATTTTATGCTGAAAATACATGATCTTGTTTTATTTTACAGGGAGTTGGAATTTAAGAGATTGCCAAGAGTTTCAGAAGAGACGTTGGACTTTAAAGCAGTCTTGAGACTGGGAAAAGACTATGGGGACTTCTGAAGTGGGACTGAATACAGTTTTTCATTATTACATTAGAACAAACATATAGGTGCCATGGAGTGGAATGTGGTGGTCTGAATAAGAATGGTTCCCCTAGACTCATATGTTTGAATGCTTAGTCATCAGGGAACCAAACTCTTTGAAAATATTAGAAGGATTAGGATGTGTGGTTTTCTTTGAGTAGGTGTGACCTTATATGGGGAACTGTATCACTGGAGTGGGTTTTGAGGTATAAAAAGTCTACAACAGGCTATGTCTGTGGATCAGGATGTAGCTCTCAGCTACTGAATCAGTGCCTGCCTGTGTTCTGTCATGCTTTCCATCATGATTACAATGAATTAGATATCTTAAACAATGTAATATGAAGACTATAGTCAACACATTACCTGGAAAAATCTGGAAACCTGACATGTGCAATGTAGGTTTCTAGATGAATGTTTAAAAAAAAATAACTTCTCTGAATCCTAAAGAGCCTACAGAAGCTGCCTAGCTGCCATACTGAAAGATAACCATTCTTAAGTGTGAAAACATTCTGAGTCCCCTAAGCTTTTAGGGTACTTGTCCCAGAAGCTTCTATTACTGTCCTAGTTAGTTTTGACTGTCAATTTGATAGAGCCTGGAATCACTTTAGAGAGAAATTGTCTATATCAGATTGCCCTGTGAACATATCTGTGAGGCACAGTCTTGATTTTAATTGATGTATAAGGATTTAACTTACTGTGGGCATTGCAATTTCTTGAAAATATGGTCCTGGTTACAAAAGAAAGCTGGAGAAATACTGGTCAGCAAGAGAGCCAGCACACACACTTTCTGCAGGTTTTCTGCTTCAATTTCCTGTTTGACTTGCTGCTTTGACTTTCCTCAACTATAGACTGTGTTCTGGAAGTATAAGATGAAATAAACCCACTATTTCTCTAAATTTCTCCTGGTCATGGTATTTGTCAAAGTACCAGTACAACTATGACACTTGTCTCTCTTGGGTTCCAAACTGATACTAGAGTTACATTCTAATATAATATACCCAGGAAGATATTCAGTTCAGCCTAATAAAATAAAAAAAAAGACTGAAATAGAAGAGTCACAGGAATTAGCTACCATTACTTGCAATAACCAGAGAAATACATATGGGATTGGATTGTAAGGGTATTTGATTAGGTACTAAAGACAATCAGGAGCTTATTAACATGGGGACCACTCCCTTAAGTACAAATAAAGCAATACCCAGACAAAGATTGCAGTGAATGGAGTAAATTTCTGCTATTGTATCTCTTAGGAGCCAAAAGTCAGCACATGCTGAACAAAGTGGCTGTGTCTATGTTGCCAAGGTAAAAAGTGGAGGAAGAAAGGATAGGAGTCATTGAGAGAGGCATGTCAGAATGGAAGAATTTCATGAAATCAGAAGATCCCCCAGGGGGTTATATTTCATGGAAAGAAGCAGGGGACACAGTATTCACCAAGGCCATTGTTGAAAGGAGAATCAGGATTCCTGGAGGTTTTCGTGGGTTTATCCTCTATGAGCCAAAACTGAGTTGGCTCACAGTTTGGTCCTTTGACAGCAGTAGGCAAGAGGATCATTCTTTCAATGTAAGCCTACCAAAAACTATTCCTTCATTTTTTTTCTGTTGTCTCTCTCCCCTTAATCCTCAATGAGAATTGTATAATCTTCCCATCTGAAACTAATTCAAACTTGGTAACTGGCAGGGCTTCTCTCATAGTAATTTTGGACATATGGCTGATTCAGCTGCATGAAGGCTAGCAGCTCCATAATCTGATGTCTCAGCACTTCTGTGGGTCATGAACAGAAACCAGGAAGAAACAGTATTCATTCTCCTTTTAGGGGGTGAGGTGATTTCAGAGATGGGTCTTGATCTTGGCTAACATGAAAGTAGAAATAACAAATCTTTGCTGTCATTAGTCACCAAAACTTTGGTCATCTTGGATTTCAGACTGAACATTTAGCCAGTATGTGTCTTCAGTCTTGTTCATTCCTACTGTCTGTTTTACCTTGTGTGTATTTGTTTTGGAAATATGTATCATGCTCATACACTGAATTTTATATCTTTACATTCTTTTTTTTAGTATATTATCCATCATTTTTATGTGCTTGAAGCAGAGTAGATGTTTTA